TATTTTTCATGCATACGATATGACTTGAACTTATTTTAAATATTTAATGCTTTGTCCATTTATTTTTAATATTGAAAGATCTATCCGACTATCCATCGACTAAATTAATAAATAATATTAACTATAATAGATGTTACTCACCCTGATTACGTCTCCTTCAGACATGAATTGTTTATTGTAGTGTGGCGATCTCTGCAAACTGCATCCTCCTAAATCAAACAATTTTAGTATTTTAATACAGAATTGGACTTTTTAAATATTTAAATAACAATATGTCGTTTCATATATTTAAGTACYTAAACGATATCAGTTATTGTGGATATTTTTTTAATTATCTGGTTCGATGTAGGAAAAAAACATATTATTTTTAAAATTACTTATAACTAAATAATAATTGCTTGGTTAGGTATATAAGTGATGTTTAGTAGGTATATAAAATCAATTATCACAATTAGTTAGTAATAATTTTATGTTACATTTTAATAAAGCTAAATTTCAATTTAAACTATATTTTTTATTACGATTGTAATTTTATTATATTATATTTCCATTTTTTTCTTTTTTTTTAGTAAATACCAATGACATTCAATGTATCGTAAATAWAATTTACATGATGGATAAAATATGTGTTATAGAAATCTGAAATAATTCAACAATTTGAGAATAGGTATCGGTAAAAATGTACATTAAATGATTCAAAATTATCATAAATTTGTATGAGAAAACATTCAAAATATTAATTTGGATTAGTYAGTGATTATAATAAATTAAATTTTTCATTTTTAATAAAGTAGTTTTCAGTATATAAATATATAATAATCTAATTTATATAGTCTTCATAAAATAGGYATAAGCTCGCAAGTCTTAATACAACAGATTTGGTTGGATGAAATATCTTTCCAGGCTTTCTGGTTTAATTTCCATAATTATTATTAAGTGTGTACAATTTAACACGAAACCACTTAAAYCTCACTGTCAAAGGAATAATTATTAACTCACGCAAAGGAATTTGAGAGGCTAGTGAAAGGGTAGTGGATGCAGTCGTTGAAACCGTGCTGATGGAAGTTGTGACGGCAGTGGTCGCCACCGAAGTCGTGGTAGCTTTGGGCGTGGTGACCGCAACAGTTGTGGTATCAGGCCAAAATTTTTTTCCAGCTATTAGTACCCTGACCGTGGTCGTAGTCGGAACGTCTATGGCTTCGGTTGACGGGACTGCTGATGACAGTCGTGGTCTGACCGCAATCGCCGTAGTCTGATCGTAATGATCGACCGCCACTGCAGTAGTTGTGTTGAAGTGACGCGATAATAATTTCACCGAGTTCTTTATCTTGGTCATATGGAAATCYCTTTGTGCTTCCACTGAAAAATGACAAACCAAATACGGTTTAAATGTGTGTTATTGTTACTATAATGACCATAATATGGTCTGATATTAAAATGTTGATCATAATTATGAAATTATAGGTAGTTAGATTTACACAGTGAAAATTTCTGAAAATGTCTTACAGTTTTAAGAAAGAACATTTTAGCTGCAAAATAAAAACATTTTCRATAACGATCCACCATTGGCATTAATAAAATAAAAATAAAAATATCAAAACTCCCTAAATCGATACTTTTATGAATACAACTTATAAAATATATATTTATTTTACCCTSACGGCGTTGCAGGCCTGTCATTATAACGCATACATCATATTATTATAAGTCCGTAACCATTTATTTCTTACATTTGGAAATAAAAAAAACCCTTAAGTATCCATCATAAAAACAACTTATGAATATAAGAATGATATTACTTCTTAAGGCAATACGGTTCAAAAATCATATTTTGTCGACTGTGGACGTGACAACAAATTTAAAGTTATACACACAGTGTAAATACTTTATGGGAGGAGGGGAGTTTTGTATCTTTTTTACAAAACATGTTATATTTTATGTAAAACTAAATACTGAACATATTTACTWAAATGTTAATTTTACAAAATGCATTCATTTTGAGAATTTGAGGAGATAAAACATACGAAAAACTATTGTAATTATTATTTTTTTATTTCTGTGGAATTTTATAAGTATTTTATTTTTACTGATATCTAAATATAATGTACAGAATGTATCTTATGTCATTGAACGCTAAGTTTTTTTCAGTGCTTATGGATCGATAATATAGAATTTATTACAAAAAAAAAATAAGTATTTTCTCATTTTTAACTGGTAATTTTTTTTTATCTCAATTTAAAAATATTAAAGCACACAGTTTTAATGACAAAAAAATTAAMTWWATTTTTTGAAATATTATAGTAGTATAATTTAATTGTGATTATACAATAATAGCACTTATTATATTATTATATGTTGTACTAAAAATGATGATCTATGTTTGTTAAATATTGTGTAAGCATTTATCACATGATTGAATATTTTTTTTTTTTTATGGAGTGCCATTATAAACTATCGATTTATGTTTGTATAAAAGTACCTACTTATGTGATTTTGAATTAAARAATTGTTTACCTAGCTCTATAAAATGGAATCTAAATAAATTGTTTAAATTCAAAGTGTAACTAAATTTTTAATTTTAGAGACTTATAGATAGTTAGATAGTGAACCAAAATTGATAATTGACTATTAATATATTCAGGAAAATAATCACTACAAGAATACACTAAAAAATATTTGTCCCTCTTTGAAAAAACAAAAGCAACTATTCTATTAGTATAACTGCGTACCTTAAGATTTTGAAATTTTTATAAAATATGTCAGTTAAAAATAAATAAAATTGCCTTTTTGTTTGTATAATTCCATATTATTGCTCCATAATCATTAAAAAAACCATGCATAAAACGCATTAAGATACTTATCCCCTATCAAATACACCTAGTTAATAATACAATATTATTTGATTATGGCATATTTTATTTTTGAATTTCTAATTTTTGCTGACAACATTCAGAAAATAATTATACTATAACTTAAGTGAGAGCTACAGAGATATTTGTTGTCTTCGTCTTACAAGTGTGTGACATAGCGAATTTACGCTTAGCAGATCACGTTTAGCTCCGTTAGGTTAAAAATTAGAGTAAATTGACCTATTATGGAACTTGATGGTAAGATAATTATCTGTGTTTATATGTGGGTTTTTTACGATAGTTAGTTAGATACCAAGTTATGTATGTATAAAAATGAATTTATTAAAAATGTTCAGAATTTACTTAAAAAYTAATTTATCGTAAAACCCACAAGCAAACACAGATAATATTCTTAACATCAAGTTTTATTATAAGTCAATTTACTCTAATTTTTAAACTAGCGAAGCTAAACCTGATCTGCTAAGCGTAAATTTGCTATGTCACGCATTGAGACGACATGCGTGTAGCGTCCTCTTAAATCTTTTTGCTATGACTTAATTGATCATGTTATATATTTGTTAGTACAAAGCATCATCTATTATATTGTACAGATTTTTTTTTAACTATCAATATTTTTTGTTTGAAACATAAATTTATATCTATTGAGAAATATGCATCTATAATAAATAATCACTCATACATAATATTTACGGTATATATTTTTATTTATTRTGGCRATATTATTGTTGACACAGTGATAGTAATAAAAATGTATGCAAAATTTCCCATTCACTACATTACTATATTGACGTTATCACGTTATAATGAATAGAATCATTGGTTTGATACGTTGAATTTTATTTTACTCAATGATTTTTAGTATAATAATTGTTATCCAGGGGATAATAAACTCTTAAGTATATTAAAATTGTGTAGTGATATGAAGATAATATTGTTTTTGTGTATTATTAAGATTTAAACTATTATTTTTTTTTTTAGATTCTGAACGAAGTGAGGGATGTATTGATTTTTTTGCAATGATTTTTTTTTTTTTTTTAATTTTTTTTGTGTGTCATGACGTTTTGGAGTAATACTTTGATTTCTGACTTCAGACCCTCATTGAACAGAAAAATTCAGCTTCTTGATACTTTGAAAGGGYCAAAAAGTAAAAAAATGTACAGTAAGTTTATATTTAAATATTGAATGCCTATAAAATTTATATTTAATTTATTTTAGATCATATGGTCATAGACTCTTTGTCCTATTTTGTGCTAATTGATTAGTTATTATCTCATATTCGTTCAGAACCATTCTTCATATAAAATGATACTTGTCATTGCATTCAAATTTAACACATCCATTATAGTGAACTACTCATCATCACTATTATAAAGCAAAGTGATACCTATGAATTTCCACTTATTTTTGAAATGTAGTCGTTCCTTAAAAAAAGTTAATGTCAACATGACAAGTTTGGTTTCATACTCTACCCATGTTGAGATGAAAGTTTTTTTACTTTTATTTTTATTTTTGAAAAGCTCTTTTTCTTAAGAAAAAAAATGAATTGAAATATATTTGTTCAGAGATTTGAGAACCATTGGTTTTCATTGACCATTATTCTGAGTTTGGATGCTGGATGCTGTTTCTTAGAAACCTTCTTGGAACCTTTTTATAGGCAGTTTTATTTATTTTGTTATGTCATTGTAAATGATTAGAAAGTAATGTTCACAGAATGTTAACCGTTGAGGGACTCATTCTATCCACACTGAATGTGTCCATTGCAAATGCTATTAGTACATCAGTTAATATTTTTAGAATTTAAAAACTCTAAAATGTATACTTTTGAGAATCTTTACCATCATACCCAGTTATTCTGGTTAGTTATTCTGTATGAATATGAAATTTAATTTTGATGAATTCTCCATTCTTCATCTAAATTTTCAAAATATACTTTAATTGTTATTACACCTCATTTTTTATGGAAACCATATCATTATATTATTTACGACTGCTCTCTATTTTTTAATAACTTTTGCTATTGTGTTTACTGTTTAGTAATATAGCAGCGTAATTAGAGTGCATGGCAATAATATATTATATATATTTAAAGAATTTTARTGTGATATTTTTCCAGACTATGTAGGAATGTGAAAAGTATTCCATAAGTATCTTTTGTTCCTACTAAACCTTCTCTGTTAAGTTCATTAGAGATTCTAATTTATAYTGTTGGTAACAATATAACATTTGAAAGTCCTTTTTTTTAGAGTCTTAACACCATACAAGGATTTAAGATCGTGTATAACCTTGTTTTTTTATATTTTTGTTCTGTTATAATATTTTGATTATTTTGATTGGTACGTATGCTTATGTAGTAAGAGACTAAAAGATGCACCTTTAGTTGCTCTAAAATAATTTTTTTCTGTTTTTTGTTTTTTGATCAATCTTCATCTGGTCTCTCGATTATTTTTTTGGTGCAGTTAAGTTTTATTGTAATATTTAAATGCTTTATATTCAATTTTAATACCATTATTGGTTTTGTCATTAATTCAGAGAACTCTTGATTTGTGATCGATTGTTATTGTTTAAAAGGGTTTTCCTAAGATTGAGGTTATTATATTTGTATAGTTTCAACTATTTCATGTATGTCATGATTTAATACAAATTAATGGTAATTGTAATTTTATTCCAAATTAGATTCTTAAGGTCTTGGTTTTGGATGTTTATTTCAAGTCTATTTTTTATTTTTAAGAACTCGTTACGTTTCTATTGGATTTATTTAAAGTGAGATTTTGTTAATATTTAAATATTATAATTAAATCAATAMAATTCAAGCTCTTGACACATCACATTAATTGAGGGCTCTTATTTTACTTTCTCAAATGTCAACAAAATGGGATGGAGATATCTATGAATATTTACTCAATGTTTCTTTATAAGATATATACCTACATTATAATGTTTAAGCACACAACTTTTTAATATAAATCTTATATCATTGTTATATATTTGATACGTTACACATACATAATATATAKTACAATACAAAAATAAAAGATAATCTTAAAAAATGTTCATCTTTCGGTGTATAATAAGATAGCATCTATRTTTGTCGATCAAATATTACTATATTAGACAACGTATCTAAATAATATAACTACAACTATCAGGTATTATAATGTATCGTGATTCAAACCTTAGATATTTTAATCACTTGATTGTGTATTAACGTTATTAAAATTTACTTCAATTGACAAAAGTACGAAGTCATGTAATTATCTGGACCTAATACWATAATCGAAGATAAAATATAGTATATGCCTTGCAATGAATTAATATYCCACAAATTTGTTACAACAAACCATTCATTAGCCTCAAAAGGTTGAAAATGGTTCATATATGAGACTCAGAAGAAAAAAAAGTAGGTGAATAACGTTTTGTGCAATTGTGCAAAATTATCGAAAATTACATAAAACAAATATAATATGGCATGTATATAATATTTGATTATTTATTAATAATATATTATTATATCAAGTATTCAATCAATTCATTTTTAATAAATTAATATCTTATTTAGTTGGTATCTTATAACTTTATTTTTATTATATATTTGTTGTATTACATAAATTTACTGGAATTAGACTAAGATAATATGATATCTACAATTTTCTGTTTTTCAATTATATTATAAAATATCAGTGAAACAGTGTAAATATAGGTTCATCTTTTTGGAAGTCGTTCACAGACAAATTGACAGCTACATGTATAATATACATTGTATATACATGCTTATTTAATGAAATATAACATTTAATTGTGAACATTTAAAAATCAAAGTGTATAAAATTTGAATACTTTCATTTTTTATGTTCCAGAAAAAAAAATAACCATAAAATATGTTTTTATATACATAATTGCATGAGTCAATCATCTAAAACTGTGCACTAAACAACAATTTTTTTGTCATGTCGTTARTAGTATTGCATACTTGCAAATTATTTTGAWATCTATTCTAGAACAGTTGATATTTTAACATCAACTGAAAAAACAATGTTTTCTAAATATCCTTGGTAACCAGTTGTTCGATCMTTTTGTCCAAAATTGATTACCGCCGGTCTTGGACATGGATATGATAAGTGACCGCGCTTGGTCACTCGCGTTGTTGGCAGCACTGACGTGTCCGTCGCCCTAGCCCGGGCAACGACGCATACACCGCCGCCCACGGTCGTCGCTGTTGTTTACGTTTGTTATGACAAATTGTTCCGTTCGCCGTAGCGTATTGTTCACGTGCTCTCGTGTTAACGGCCATCTTGTCACCAAAAGTGTGCTCGCACCACAAGATTATTGTTCTTTTTGGTATTGCTATWTCAGCATATTATAAATCCGATCGATTTATCCGTCAACCTCATCGAGCTCCCGATCGAAACCGTTATCTAACGTGCAAGTGTCGATACGATGTTGATCCGCGTGTGACACGTTCCGGTACTCCCCGTTACTCACGTATCCTAGAAGTCTTCAGTTCCGAGATATAACCGCTCCGCCTTCAATCGACGATTCACCAGCAGTTCAGCAAGTAACTGGCAATTCCACCCGACATTGAGTGTTCCCTCAGAGCGGTGTTCCCCGCCCTCTTATTTTGCTCGTTAATATTGTTAATATTGTTAATATTGTTAATATCGTTAATATTGTCCTCATATGAGGGCGTGGGTTCGAATCCCACTTCTGAGGTTGTAGGGGTTATCAACAAATAACATAAGTAAATTACGACCAATCACAGGCCGTGATTAATAAAACACCAACTTAGAAACAACTTACAACGAGGAGGATGATATCAATGGATAAGGGAGGAAAAACCTATCAAGAGATGTCACCAAATACACCAGAAGAGAAGAAGACCACGACCAAACAAAGATAGAAGGGGCAGGACAGACAGAAAAAGAGAAAGGGSAAAAAGAAGGATGAAAACACAAACCAACAAGGTCAAAGGTGACATCATCGGGTAGGGGATAAAAATACTTATCACTACTTTCGACCTAATCGGAGCAAGGGAAGGGAGATTACCACCGGAAAAGCAAACACTGAMAAAACGCCGGCTGAACCGACCGAACGGATAGTTTACTATTCGGTACGGTAATGTGTTTATATACTGGATTCTGCTAAGCCAATTAGAGGCCCAGGAACACCGAAGCCGCTCAAACCCAGCATGCCGCCGACCGCGGCACGCAGCAGACAGCGCTCACCAGTCTTACGCTGACGACGACGAAATCACCAGGCCTACTACCCGTGACGATAAATTACCTATCCAGCATATCACACGGCGTTTCTTTCCCGGATTACACCTCTCACGGCCAATTGGCCACTAAATTTTGGGTGGCTACTAGTCGCGTCCCGCGGTAAAAATTTCTTCCGAATTGCGGCCCGAGTTTTTTTGGGATGCATACGAATTGCGGCCCGAGTTTTTTTTAGTTACATATGAATTGTCCCGGAATTTAAAATTAAATTAATTATTTGTATGTAATTATATTGTATTATGTTATAATATGCATGCATTTATGCGTTGATTTTCATTCAAATATGCAAAAATATGTAAACAAAAATGCATGTTAATTAAATTTATTTAGTTTAAAAATGACAAATATATATAATTCATTAAATGAGTAATATGGACAAAAAAATGTATTAAATATCTATTTGAAATAATTGATGTATACCTAATGTAGTTATTTAGCTATAAAGTAGGATGTTGCACTTTGAACATTCACTCATCCAAATAAAAGGCCATTGACAAAAATAAATTAAAATAAATTTAGTATATTTTTATAATATTTCAAAGTTACCTGAAGAGTTACAGTTGACTACTAAAGACTTAAATTTTCAGTAAATATATTCTTAAATCTAGAAAAACTTCGTTCTACATACGTTGAAGATATCAGGACGTACTTATAAAGTATACCAAGTCACTGCATGATAGGTCTTTCGGTTAAAATCAAATTATCTAGAATTGAAAAAACCCGGGCCGAAACTCGTCTGTACCCAAAATAAACTCGGGCCGCAATTCGGATTAGACATTTTTTCGTAGATATTTTCGGGATGCAACTAGTATGCAGCCAAAATATTAATATTTAGTTAACGTCCTTGTAGTGTAATCACGGTCGACAGTATCCAGCGACTGACTATCTTACCAGTGAGACATTATAAGTCCCCCGACCAGAGAGCAGACCTCAGAGTAAGGCGTTCACCAACTATCACAAGACCTGAGAAGCTCATTAACCACCGGCCCGGAAAAATATGGATCACTACCCAACAGCGAGAATCTACAAGGCCCGGAAGGACTGCCGGCCGAGCGGACTCGAGGAATTTTGAGACGGCACTTAATCAAGTTGACCGAACCAGATTCGATTCGTCACCGGGGTACCGCTTAATCAAGCTTGTAACGGCGATGGTCAATCCCCACACCCATATTTGTACACGCTACATGATACGTCCCACAAATTGTAACTAGAGTCCGGCCTCGTCCCGACTAACCCCAAGCACCACCGATTGTTCTGGCTCACTTTTATAAATCTKGTCAGAATCAACCGACATTTTACTCGTCCCTATTATTACATATGTAAATACTTATATTTTTTGAGCCAGAATATAGGAACGTGATTACCAATAAATAACGTGTGTTCAAATCATTTCACGATCCAGAACGTCGATCCCGACTCTCCGTTTCAAAATGAATCTTGTTATACCAAGTGATTATACCTTCGATCGGGAATATCAAGTGMTAATAATTGACAGTCACCACTTAAATTKTTTAAGAGTAATTGGTTATGTAATGATTATACCAAAGATTTAGTTTAATTGACATGTCTGGTTTTTAATTAACGTGCAAAAATATTCAAAAGCCAAGTTTCATTGTGTATTTATATATGCAATATATCCACTGTGCTAAACAACAAATTAAATCAACTAAATCAAACCTTAATAGGTRTAATGATTAAGAGAATTTAGAAATAGAAGTCAGAAACAGTGTAATTTAAATTTGAATGGGCATCCACTTGTGGCGTTTAGAATATGGCACTAGTAAATTTCGGTTTAACTGTATCTTAGTTCACGTGTCACTATATTTGAGTAAAATTCGATTCAAATGTAATTAGCTTATGTGTAAGTTAGACCTGATTGAGAGTAATATGCCCACAAAGCATTAGATATCCACTAATCATGGATTGGACATGTCACTCAGTGTATTTTGGTTAGGTACACTGATTGAATACAAAATATACATTTAGATAATATAATATAAAATTGTATTTACTTAATAAATTATAAAATAAAATTAAGCTTTTACAGTTACATCAATTTCCATACGTATAAGTTTTTGTTAAGATTTATAATGGAGAAAATATGATCACACGGCGTTCTAGATAGGCATTTTAGCTACACCGCAGTCATAGGTTCTTTTTCGGTTTGTTATAATAAATATTTTTTTAAGCTTAACTCTTCAAAATTTGATTTGAAAGATAAAATAATRAAATAGTTTTTTAATCCTAGATTAAATTACAAAAACAAACAAACAATTTGAATAAAAATAATAAAAATAATTTCTTGTATTTATATTTTAGATACCTACTTTATGTGTATAATATTATTATATTAAACGTGCATATACGTACCCACACACGAATTGAACCAAAACACTCGTTGCCATCCCATGCAGTCATAGAACTTAGAAGGAGATGTATCTTTACAAGCGCAGTTAGTCCTTAACATCGTCCCCAGTATGCCAAGAATGGACTCACGACACGTGGACGGTGATCCCGCACATCTGTTGGTCGTTTGGTCCACTGAACATGTTTGCTCAAAAGCTTCAAGTCGAGACCTGCATGAAATAATATTGGTTAAAAATATATTTACATATAAACAAGAATATCAACCAATAAATTATTTTATACTGATTATAATGTCAATTATTTTATACATTGTAGCAATAGGTACATAATTTAGTTATCTATTATATTAAACAATTTCCAAGATTAATTTAATAATAAAATGAAAAATATGATTTGACTAACTTAATATATTATTAAAGTCTTAACTGATCATCAATTATAAGTACCTAGTGTAGGCATTTCTGTATTTAGTTATGGATTTATCACTTATCTAGATATCTAATGATATTTGCTTTTAAATTTCAGAGTATCCTTCTTATTAAATAACAATATAAGTATAAGTATACAAGATAACAGTTGCAACATATATGTTTACAATAGTCAATTCGGTTTTCACTTTTGTTACGAATATCTAGCAATTATTGTTTTAATGAATATGTAATAATAATAATATTTTATTACTATTTTTATTTATTTTTCCATTATAAATTATTATAAATTACTTTATTTCTTTGAAAACAAATGGTAGTTAACGGTATCTATACGATATTGTAATCGACCAGCTGCAAGMATTTTTTTTTAATTATGATAAATATGTATAAAAATTATGAAATTAGACATATTTTAGATTTTGCTTATAGTAATGAATTAATTGATAACGAAATGTCGAGTTTTGTGTATGTGTRTCTTTCATTACATTAAAAAAAATAAAAATAATTTAAACTTTTTGTCTGAGGATGGTTTCCAGTGGTAAATTTTGTTTGGCGGGTAATTTGTGTATTTCAATTTCTCACGTAATTTCTAACTGAACCAAAAATAATGGAATAAAGGGAATACTTAAAAACACAATTTTTTAACAAAATAGATTTTGTACATTTGTTATAAGTAATTCAATATTTATACTCGCGTTATCTGGTATACATTAAAAAAAAATATTTTAGGGTCTTTTGTAGCTATTTTAAGACTTTTGGAGTTATTATTCAAAACTAATTTCCACTTATTTGAGATTTTAACAAATGTTGTGAAAAATTGTGTTGTTTAATATAATGTTTTTATTTATCTTGWAGTAGGTAATTAAAGAAATATTATTATATCTCGGAAACAGCTGACCTGAACTTTAAAAATAATATAACTGTAAAAGACAGTGAAACGTTTAAAATATGTGACATGGTCAAGATATTATATGACACACTTTATTATATTCTATAAATTTATATAGTATTAAGATAATTCGGCATAAGTGTTTGAATACATTATGTGTTGTTAATGCAGTAAAACACTTGGKTAAAAAATATTACTAAAAATAATTTTTCCTTAGTAAAATAATTGGTATCTGGTCCAAATATGCTTTATCAGTAAATTGGCATCCATAATATACATTTGTATATGAAACAATCAAACAAGCAATGCATGTTGCATTCAAATCAACCCGAACCCATTTTTGCACATAAAAYGACGTTAAATTCGAAGATTAGTCTTAATACTAATAAACAAATAATATGGGTGTTTTATTATAGGCCATATTTGGAAGATTGAGTAAATTTTGGTTTTCAATTTTTTTAATGATTTATGATGAACTATGACAGATAAAAATATATCGCTCTTGTAAAATACACATATGAGTTAATAATTATTTTATAATATAACTGAGAAAATTTAATTATACCCTTTATAGGTACGRATTGTTGTTGTAACCTGTAAATATAACAATATTTATTTTATTTCAAGACACTAGTAATTTGTTTCTATTCCTATTTTTATCTTTTAATGAACAAAGTATATTCATAAAATACCATAAAAACTTATCAATATCTTTCACAATATTATTATGTACAAATATAGTTATCAAAAAAAAATTCTA